AATCATAGAATCACAGAATATCATGAGTTGGAAGGGATCCACAAGGATCTTCAAGTTTGCCTTTTTTCATTCCCAGCAGAAATTTGGACTAGGAATTGGAAGAAATAAATTCTAGCCTCACAGAATCACAGAGCATTATAAATCTGACATCCTAGCCTGATTTTCAATTTATTAGGCTCAGAAAAAACTCTAACAAGTCTTAATGTCACTCTTAATTTATTATGTATGTGTTTTCTCTGTGTACTCAATTCTAAGCCTTCGAAAACCATGGGTTAGGTCCAGACCTTGAATCTAAATTCTATAAAATAAAATCTATAAAAAATTACAGATATTTTTCTTCTACCTATAGGCAGCATTGTTTAAATCTGGAACTCTCTAGCGAGACCAGAAAAACAGGCTTTCTCTTAAGAATATATAAATTGGGGTTTGTTTTGAGTTTAGAACTGCCTTCCATCAGTGAGATTTCTTCTACATATTCATGCAAAATGGTAACAGCATTATGGCCTTAGAATAGAAATAAACATAGCATTTATACCCAAGAAAGTTTAGAGAAGACAGCAGTTTCATACTGGCCCACAACATTAGATTATATTTACAGATCACAGACAGTACAGGCAATATATCCTGCTTTATCACAGCAGTCAGGAAGGGGTAATCTGTACAATTCTACATAAGCAAAGGAGGGAGAAATCACTTTTCTCCTGATATTTTTGGGAACAAATCTTTCTAAAATCAGCTTCATAGGGTTATTTCATCACTTTACTGCAGCCAGTGCCCAAATTGGATGGCTGTGACGTGACTTTGCACTGAGGTTTAACAAAGCTATTATGTAAGTATATTTAGTTTTTTCATTCTTATTTCTACAAGATTCTAGAAGTATACATGCCCTGTAAGAATGGAAACAGACTGAACAAGACAGAAAAAAAACCTGAATTTTTTATTTGTTTATTTTTAGACTTTTACAATATGAAGTCATTAGGGCAGGACTTTCTGTAGTTTTGTATAGTTTTATTTTTAATGACTTTTCAGTGTAATAGCAAGTCAGAATTGCTACATATACTAATGGAGTCATTGTAAACTCCCAGCTTACCTGAAAAAGTTACCATTTACTTAAAAAGTTCAAAATTGTAAAATCTTCTAAAAATTTTATAAATTTGTATCATTTTGATATTCTGTACGTACAAATACTATTACCCAATACACATCATGAAAAGTAACTTTTTAAGCCACTGAAGGAAAAAAATTCATTTAACTCAGAAATAAATGACAGTGAAGCAAAAAATTGCATATGAAAAGCTTAGTAAGAACTTGGGAGAAATATATGTTCCCTCAAAATTCGAAGAGAACAGAAAATTCAATGGTCAAATTTAATTTGAGAGATTTTTATAATGCTTTCACAAAAAAATCCCTTGGCTGAGCTGCACCTAAAATGCACAGATGCTTCTAAAATACCAAATCAGTGAAGTTGCATATCTGCAAGAATGCATCTGAAAAATTTTACTTAAACCTTGACTTTATCTTCTGCAAAGGACCTGTCAGCTGACTAGTTGATGCATTCCTGTCCTTCAAGATCCAGGTTTCCTAGTGAAGCAGTCTTATACATGCACTTTACAAATGCCTATGGCATACCATTAAGGGATGTATTTTCTGTGTCTTCATCTAAGAAAGCCAGAACTGATGCAAAAGATCTTTTCAGCAAAGACCTGAGAGAGGCCACAACATCAGTAAGATAAGTGCTAATGGCAACCCGTGTGTGATATTCCTTTTTTATTCAATATATTTAGTCTGAACTTTTGTGACAGAAGTGATAACTACTGTATAAAATTAATTAGTACTGCTCTGCTATAAGCAATAAATACAGAATCACAGAATCACAGAATGGCCAGGGTTGGAAGGGACCTGAAGGATCATGAATCTCCAACCCCCCTGCCACATGCAGGGCCACCAACCTCCACATTTAATACTAGACCATTAAATATACTTTAAAAAAAAAAAAACCAAAAAAAAACAAAAAAAACAGTCACTTCATGATAGAAGTGAATAAAGAGGGGGGGAGGGGGAACAAATCTTATTGAAAAGAAAAAATCCTGGATTTTTCCAACAATTCTTCTCTGATGCTTTACTAAGAAACTAAGGAAATGCTAAATCCCTTTGCTTCTACATTAAGTATCGGCTCCAGCTGTGATTTCTATATACTGATTGCAAAATGTAACTACTGTACTTCTGAACAGACGGTCTTAACTCAGTGTTGATGTGAATCCTTGGAGAATGCAAGCTTTGATTCTTACATGTGCAGACACTTGAAAGTCATTTTGCACAAATATGCATAGAATTGCTTTTGCAGAAATAAAACAAAGAAGTTTACATTACTGCAGAGACTGTAAGGCTAAACAAAAAAAAAAACAAAAAACAACAAAACAAAAAACTCTTCGGGGCGGGGGGGGGGGGGGCGAGGGGGGGGGCGGACGCAAGGGGACCGCAAAAAACAAACCCCTTGAAATTTAGTATTCCTAAGTCTATGGACCAGAAAAACAGATGTAAACATGTATCTGTGTGCAGATCTTCGAGAAAAATACACAGAACAATATATGTACATATATTCAGAAAATCAACAGATGCCAGACAGCTCTTAGGTTGTATCAACTGTAAAATGTTTCAGAATGAACATCTGGAACGTTTAAATCTTAAATCCAGAGCTGATCCTCTAGCATTAGATTCTCTGGGGATTATAACGAAGAACTGAGTGCACAAACATCTGCCCTTGCCTCCAAATGGATTTATTTTCTTAGCTAAATTCAGGTCACATGACATCTTGTTCAAGTCCATGATATCAGTGGTTACAGTTGCTAAAATGCTACAGTTACCTTAGCCAAGCATTGCCAGATCACCACTGATAAAAAAATTACTCAAGATCAAGATTAATTATAGAACTTTATATGTGCATGATTGTTTGTTTGATTCTAAGTGTCTAATCATCTCCCCGAACCCAGACATTGCCTAAATCTTTTACTTCTCAGTTTGTTCCTTTTTTTTTTTCCTTCTATCTGCGTAACAGTTCCAGAATCTAAAGTCAAAAGGAGCACTGATAAGAAATAACAACAAAAACATTACTCTTGGAAAACGTGCTTTTAAAAATATCATTTCCACTGCCAGAACTTAAAACTTCTCTGTAGTATTTCTTATGACTCTAAAAAACCCTCACAAATATCTGCTTTACAATCACTTCATCTGTCTGAATCATGGTTCTCTCTAAAACATGCATGTGCCCTGCAGTGACTGTGTAGGTTCCTTACCTCCGTAATTTTCGCTTGGCAAGTAGCCTAAGCCTCTGCTTTAAATTTCCCACTTGGTAGCACTAGTATGGCACCTGAAGAGTAATTAGTTATAAGAAAGGGAATTTGAATTGGTTGCTGAGAAGGAAAAAAAAGTGCATGCATAATAAAGATTTTTCCTTGAGTACCTGCAGCACCATCTATTTATTTTTGCTTAGAATGCACCACCCTTTAAATAGACCGTTGACTGATCTCCTCTTTTTTTTTGAAACTTTCCAAAAGAACAAAGTTAAATAAAACTGGTTTCCAAGACTACACTATTTCACTTGGAGTCAGTCTTTCACATTACAGCTATACTTATTTTCGTGCAAATTCTGCCTTTTTTTTTAAAAAAAAAAAAAAAAAAAACAAAACAAAAAAAAAAAACCCACGTTTTTTATAATCACCTTTCCTTTCCTTTTTTTTTTTATTTTTTTAAATTTTATTTTCCACATTGTTCTCCCACAGACACCTGATGGGTAGTCTTCCAGGAAGGCAAATCAAGAAGATGCCTGAGCAAGTAGAATATTCTACCTCAATTACTCATAGAACTCTGTAAAGTTTATACTGCCCATGAAACTTCACATTATTGTACTTTTTGCCAGACAGGCAGATCTCCATTGGTCCCAATGACCTTCAAGACTATTTTTGAAGAAATCATTACATGTATACAGTTATGCAAAATGAGTAACATAAATGAGATTTCTCCTTCTCTAGAAATTAGCAGTTCCCCAGCACTAAGAAAGTGAAAAGTGCTGCTCCTGATACTGTTTCTGCCTTCTGCGCAAAGAGAGAAATGGAGAGAAGTTTGAGGGGGAGGGGATTTGATTTCTTTTTTAATGTCTGCCTCCTTCCAGCAAGTCCATCTGTTGTAGCACAATAATTCTGGAAGCAGGATGTGTGTGTGACCAACAGGAGACAATTACTGCAAAAGTGTTTGTTGATTCAGCTCTATAAAGGGCAGGCCAATCACTACAGTACAAGTAGAAAAGAATTCCAGCTGAGGTGCTGCATATAGATTAACACAAAATACATATATAAAAATGAGAATGGGGAAAAGGAGTGATAGTATGGGAAAAGATTAACAAGAAATGAAGACTGAAGTAAAGAAAGAAGCTGTAATTTTTGGGACTGTTAAACAAATAGTTTTACAGTCTCTGTCTTCATAAATCATATTCTGTAGCATTCCACCTTGACAGAGAGAGCTAGGTTTAAACAGACATGAAATTGGTTTGAGTTTCCTCTGGAAGAAAACTCTAGTTGCATTAACCATTCTATTCCTAGGGAATATGAACGCAAGTGCTTTCTCTAGAAATGACATTTCTTTATAGAACAGTGGTTCATAGTATTAAATTCTCATGAAAGTTCCCACATCACAAGACGAAATGGAAATCCTCTTCACCATTACAATACAGGTAGAGTATCAAAGGGAAAAACACTTCTTCTCCAGAAGGGCTAATGGACTGGGTTAATAAAGTATAAGCAAAGTAAAAAGGACGTCAAGTGTATAAGGTCTCAGTACCATCTGTACATAATAAACGATTCAGAATCTCATATAGAACATGCTGTTTTGTAACACTTCATAATTTTGATCATAATAAATTAAGAAACAAGTAATGTTACCAAAATTCCACAAAATAACAGAATTAAACCAAACATCTTAAGACACCATAATGAAATGGACTTTACCTGTATGGTCAATTTACTACTTTGTAGTCTCTGACCAGCCAAACGTAGCTGAGTTGTTAGTTTTTCATTTGTTTCTTTAAATTCCTTCACAGAAGATACTGCTGTCTGTTTTTCATTCAGTAAAACACCTATCTGCTGCTGCAACGACTTAATTGTTTCCTGAAGTAGAGTAACAGAATAGCCTTGTTTCTGGAAAATGATGTTTCTGCTTTTCATTCTGCTCACTAAACAGAAAACGGCATGTTACTAAACCGACACAGATACTAAACCATGATAGATAGGATGATTTTTGGCTTTTCTCTAGCCCTTCAAAACTCTATTCTAGCTGCTAAATTTTTTTCTAGGATACTATACTCAATATTTCTCAGTAGGTGAACTGAGAAATTAATTCAGATACCCAATAAATGTTTGATGCTATTTTTCTAAAGTGCCAACTCTGCAAATTCCACATGGACTTGAAAGTTAAATGGCTCTAGTCTCTGAATGATAATACCAGAAATAAAGACTTTACTATTTTGTAGACAGGTTTGTTTTATTTTTTTTTAAAGTTTGATCCAAAATGCAGTTCAATATTTTCCATGGTTGTGCTGGACAAAGGGCAAGCTAGAGCAAAACACAGTGAAAAGCTTAACTTTAATCAATAGATTCAATAGGTAGGAGCTAGGAAAATAGAAAATATCTTAATTGTGATAAAAGATGTTGCTTAACAGACGCGTTCTGTAAGACCATTTCCTTTTAAAATAATGATTTAGAAATATATTCCTGCTAATTTAAACAAGCAAATCTTGCATATGAAGCGAGCCTCTGCAACATAATGGAAGAAGTTTCAAAATACTTGGCAGGAATTTTCGTCAAGATTATTTATAAACTTTCCAAAAATATATAGTATTCCTACCTTTCCTTAGAAATGATGGATAAGCTGTTATGACACAGTGGATCTTCCTCTTCTTGGACTGTAACTTTTCTAGGTCTTTTTTCTGTAAATGGCTCTAAACAAAAAACAGAAAGCATGCGTCTTAGCAGTACTTCCATATGACAAATAACACAATTCCAAAGTTTTCAGGTTTGAATTAAAACAGCAAAAAATTATTATCAAAAACACAAAAAAAATCTTGAATTATAATTACAGTTAGTATCGGTTTTCCAATACCAGTCCACAGAGTACAGATTTCTGTCTTTCCATTAGATGTAGCAAAAATAACAAACTATTACAGGTAGATAATTATTCTTCCCCAAGAATCCTCATGGAGAAAAACTGAGTGTCTGACAAAGGTATCCTGGGGTGCTTTTCCAAGAGTGTCGCAGCAGGTCAAGGGAGGTGATTCTCCCCCTCTGCTCTGTCCCGGTGAGATCACATCTGGAATAGTGTCCAGTTCTGGGCTTCTCAGATCAAGAACAGCAATGATCTTCTAGAGAGAAGCAAAGGCACAAAGATGATAAAAGGTCTGAAGCATTTCCTATTTGAGGAAAGGCTTAGGGACCTGGGATTGTTCCATCTGGAGACGGGAACACTGAGAGGAGACCTCATCATTGATTATCACTAACTAAACGTAGGAGAGAAGTTGAAAAGGCTAGGCACTTTTCAGGGGCATGCAGTGAAAGAACTAGAGAAAATGGGCAGTGTTCCATACAAACATGCGGAAGATCTTTACTGTGAGGATGACAGAGCACTGAAACAGGCTGCTCAGAGAGATTGTGGAGATATTAACAGCTGTCTTGACTCTCTCCTGTGCAACCTACTGTAGGGAACTGATATTAGCAGGGGAGTTGGACTTGATCTCCAGAGGCACCTTCCAACCTCTACAATTCTCTCATTCTGTGATTTACCAGATTTTGCATCTGAGGCTTTTCTAGCCTCTCTTTGTGTGAAAATACCATTATGCAGCTGGAGTGTCCCCCTCAAAAGTTTTTTAAGATTTTTATTATTATTTTTGCTGTTTGGAATACTGGTAAAACCTGCTATACTGCAAAGAACACCAACATTTCTGAACTGTTTTGCAATGCCATCTTGTATACTTTTACAACAAGACACATTTTCAGATGAATTTCCAGTGAAGCATATACTCCTACTTAGCATTCCTACTTCCTATGAATGCTCAAAATTCCCTAGCTTGCTAAGTAAATGTATCAGAGTATTTCTGTTTATTGTTTCCAATTGGAACAGAACAAGTGCATTGCAGGCAAAAAGGAAAGACAGTCAGTCGAGAAAGTCCGGAGTCAGCTGAATGCCTCATCTTATATATCCTGAGTAAGGAATGGCAGGAGATAATGGGAGCAGCACACACTGTCAAGAGTTTCACAAATATCATGTGCATGTGCTCATGGTGTGTATTCCATACCAAAACAGTTGTGGAGAAATTTCCCTTTTTCCAGCTTTTTTGGCAAAACAATGGATCTTCTGGTAGAAACATTAAACCAAAATATATAACAAGACCAGAAATTTTGTATTTATTATAAGACTTTAGAGAACAAGAAAAGGAAATCTGTTTTCAAACTCCTCAAACAGTTATTTCACTGTACATAACAGAATTTCAAGGCAGTTTTCAAGCAGCACCAAGTTACTTAGTGCTTTAGTGCTGTTTCTTAACCTAATAAATAATAGTGTCTACTTGTATTTTAAACTCCATGATATAAAGTGATTTCTTTGGGCAAACACAGGAGAGGAAAAGTAGTCTAGACATTGCTCAGAAGTCCAAAAATGAGTCATCTATTATGGGTTGCAAAGAGCATCTGAAGACCTGAGAAACAACCAGCTGTCCCCATTCTGGGAGAAAACAGTACATGGATATTAGGAATAAGACAAGTGGTTCAAATCTCCAAAATAAATGTAAATGAGCTAAGTCAAAGCTAAAAGCATACTTTTCTTTTGACAGAATCACCTGGACAGACTTAGAGCCAAAACAATCTAAAATGGACATAACATTTTCTACTCATCGAATGAACTGAAAAGTAGTAATGCTTGACTAGTCAACACATCATTTTACTAGTGAGCAAATGGAGATATTCTTTGTTATGGACTGTGTCACTCAGATAAATTCTATGGTTTATCCAAATGAGAAATAGTTAAATTGAATGACTATGGCATTCTTTGTCTGGACTGTGAGACAGTAGGACTAACCTACAGTAGGTTTACATTTTTTAAACAGCTTTTGCACTCCAATGTATCTTTCAAATACTTTGCAGACTAATTCAGAAAATATGCTGAATGATAATAAAGCTCTACCTAACCACTGAATACCTGAAAGAAGATTTTCTTCCCAGATTACAAGAGCCAAATTAATTAAAACGAGAACAGCAGTCATAATATTAACTATTAAATTTCAAGATGCTGCACTAGAGAACAAAACATATATACCTTCTTCTTGTAGTGCTGGCTTTTGCCTTCTAAATGTGCAGTGTTGCAGGGCTTTTTGCCATCTTGTATTTGCTTTTTTCCCTGTTGTTTATTTCTGTCTGGTAACAGATCAATATCCTGCACTATCTTCATAGTCACTGCTTCCAGACTCTCAGGAGTTGGTATTTCAGAGTCACTAAAACAGCACATGAGGGAAAACAAAACAAAACAAAGCTAAGCATCAGCAATTCCTTTTAAAAGTTCCAAATAGCCAATAAGCAAGCATACAGAAAATACTACATGCAAGAAAGAAGAGAAAGTACTATAAAATCCAAAGAATACTAACGTGACTTATTCAGCAGATATTTACAAGTACAATAAAAAAGAAATCTCTGAAATTGTTTTCTCATCTCTGACAGTCCCTTCTGTCAAATGGAATTTCAGTACACGAGTAGAGTTCCTGAACATCATTCACAGAAGTGACAGATATGAAAAACTGTCACTTAATAGTCACTTAATAGTGCTTCTTGACTGTGAATGGCTTACACAGATACATTAAGAGTCCTCTGCATTTCCATATTCGATAGGAAGTAAAAGAAATGCACTATACTTAGTAACAATTTGTTTCAATTTATTTGTACTTTTGATGGAGACGAGCTCATAAACAACACTTCAGTGAAAATTCTAATATCCCTTTTGTAGCACTTTTAAATTCTATACAATTTAATATTTATGACACACAAATTGCATGTCATAGATAGGAACTGGGTGTAAAAACTACGTTCAACTACAAACTTTTCATTTTTCCCTTCAATTTATGATTTGATGTCAAAATATCAACACACTTTTAATTTCCAGTTGTTCATAGCCTTGGCCCAGATAATCATTTTTTTTCTAAATCAGTTCAGTCTACTTTAAAACGTAAATCTTGAAATATCACCTTCTGTACCATCAGTGGTTCTTTATCACCATTTGTGCAAACCATTTGTGAAGGAAACATTTGACTACAGCAATTTTGTTAATTATTAAACCAAGACATTTAAAGAGACTGAGTTCAGACTCTTAGAGACAACTGACTTCACAAAGTTCCATCATCATAAAAATCAATGATTGGAGATGGATAGTACTTAACCAGACAGAAGGCCTGAAATTGAGAAGAGTTTATACAGGAACACCATGCCCACCAAATCCTGTGCTGACAGACTGGCATTTCTATTGATTGGTAAGAACAGAAACCAACGTAATCTGTGCCATAGCAGAGATATGTTTCTAAGTGTGTGTATGATTTTCTCATCTGAATTTTTCCAAATAATAGTTTACTTAGACAGCAAAATGACTTAAATTTATAAATTCAGAGTCAATGTCTGACATACCACTGGCATAGAATAGCATATATTAAAACCAAGAACAAGCTAGATAAGAAATCTCCCTTGGTTTTTGAACATGACACCTTGAAATATCTCCTTCAAAAATGCTCACTCTTTTATGTCACAAATTTCCTAACCTGATATTTATATATCACATTAGGATATATAGGTATAAATATACTAAAGATAAAGGAATATAAGTATAAAGGAATTTATGGGTACAATTAATTTACACTTCAAACTCAACTTGAAATGGCAAATTTTTTTTGAACTTTGTCATAAAAAGCAAAACATGCTAAACTGAATAAAATTTCGTTAATTGTAATGAAATTGTAAGTAAAAATACATTTCAATACAATCAGATCTCCAATATTAAACAGAAAAACAAACTGGTACTGATGTTAGCAACAGACAAATTAGATTGTATTTAACTTTTCTTCTCTTTTGAGATACTGTATTTGGGAGCCCCTATTTTGCATAGGAAAAGACAGCAGAAGGTAATTCATTTGCCATTGCTGACTTGCTCCATATGACATATAAAGGTTATCATGAAAGCTACAAAGAAGACTCCATGTTCTTTACTGCTTCTCTATATTTTGGGGTAAGTACAGACTCGAGAAATTTCTTTAGGTGTCTCCTGCTATTAAGTACTGAAAGGTGAGATAACTGCTCACACAGGAGCTTACTGCAGCCTCATTTGTGTAGACACACAGAAGCAGAAGTAAAAATCATGAACATTTACAAATCTTGCCTGTGCAATTTTCAGAAAGCCCTGTGACTCATGACTGAGACTCTAAGCAGTAACAATTACCTTTAAAGAACCAATTTTTAACTATGATTCAATTAAAGTTAGTACAATGACGGTGGATAAAACATACATGAAATAATTAGTGTGGATGGTTCTTAATTTAGAGGATGTTAAACAGCTTGTAGACATCTGCTAGCAAGCTGAAATGGGTCATTCAAAATTTATCTAACTAAATTAAGGGGAAAAAATGTTTCTCCTCCCGGGTTGGCATGTCACAAGATAACTAAACCGACTTAGTAGGCTTGCCTGGGAATCCTTAGCTGTCAGTGGTGAATATGCAAAGGGCCAGCAAATTAAATCAACCTGCCAAACTGTCAATTTCAAGCCTCATGACTGCATGAAAATAGCATCACTGGAAGAAATCAAGCATTGCCTTCTTTTGGGTTTCCTGGCACCTATTCAAATACTCATGCAGTTGTGGCTAATTTTGCATGCAAATTTCAGTCAATAAACTCAGAACAAGACCTCCCAAGATATTTCAAAGGATCTGACAGTATTTTTTTTGAATACGAAATCAACAGTAGTTGAAATTCAATCTCCATTTGCTAGTGCTTTACATATGCACAGTGTCCCCTCTACAGGGCTAAGTTAATGAGAGCTGTACCTGCTTTCACTCACATCCTCCCAGCCGTCCTTACGGAAGTTCTCAAATACATTACTCATAACCTTGATGGACTGTTTGAGAAAAGCTCCATGATGTCCCAAAGAGCTCTTTTTCTTGGCTGCTTTTAATTTAACCTTGGTGCCTGTTATCTTGCAATTACATTGCCCAGAGGTTGCCGCTGCTTTGGCTTCACCCAGCAAACACGTCAGCTCCTCCACTTGACTCAGCAAATCTTCATTTTCATTTCTCAACCTGTTAGCTTCTGCCACTTGCCTCTTCAAGGAAGCAGCTTCTTTTTCCCGATCACCAATCACTATCTGAAGTTCTGCATTGTCTTTTTTTATTTCACGAATCCTCTTAAGTAGTTTTTCCAGCTCTCTTTCTCTTGTGTCTGCATCTTCCTTTTCCAATTTTAAAGATGCTTTCAAATCATTTTTCTCCTTCAGCAAGTCCTTGTTTACTTCTTTCTGTTTCCTTATTGCCCTTTCAATAGTTCTACATCTTCTTTCTAGTTGTTCTACCTAGCAAAAATAATTTATGCATTCATAATGTGTTAACCTATCCAGTAGATAAAATCCCCTTCTAAAACATATTTACTATATGACAATAATATTATACTAAGCACAAGGACAAAAGCAATCTAAAGTACTTAATTTAAAAATGATTCTAACATAGTGTAGATGAATACATTTTAGCTGCAATAATACAGCTGTTGAACAAAGGGCAGATGGTAAAAGAAGTTAAAATTCCAGGCAAAGTGACACAGAAGTTTAAATATGCTAATGAACTTTCCAGATGCATCTTAAGCTTGTTACTGATTTGGTTATACATACTAATTGAATTTAAATAAACATTTTAAGAAGGAAAACTATCTTGAAATACAGGCAACTTTGCACAAGCTATCTTAATCAACATGTTCTTTCCTGTGATATAAATATTCAAAATAAATATTAGTTTGAACTTTAAAAAAAAAAAAAGTATCATAGCAATAGATGTCAGAAGCTCAGTACTTAAAGAATACGAAGGCTGAAGTACATTTTCTATTCATAGGAAGGAAAAAACAACCCCATGTTTACGGTCTTTTCAATTACAGTTTGCAGAAGCAAACTTTGGTAGAAATTAGTAGCATTCCCACAATGAATAGACTGTATCATGGTTCCATAATCTTGCCAGGTGAAATGAGGAATATAAATATATTTTTTTCCAAATACTTCAACGGAATCAAGATTTATGATGAATTTCATAAATTTTCTTTTGCTCGCCACTGGTAAGCAATACTAGTACCTTTCTTCAACTATATTCCTAAACTGAGATTCTTCTATTATTATTCTTAGTTCTTTAAAGAAACCTTTTGCACTCACTAACACTTAAAGTCATGTATGACAAGTGCAAGAAAACAAACAATGAGTAGCTTCTATACTTATCCCTAAGGTACCACCATAATTCTGTATACCCATAGAGATAAAAATTATGTAGTACCTGGCAAATAAAATTATAGTTTTGAGATATAGATGATAACCAAGCATAAACTGTGTGACATTTCAGGTGGTAGCATTCAAATTATTTCAATTACTCACTCTACCTTAAGATAAATGAATGTGAGCACTTCCTATTCTGTGTGTTATTATTTTAACATGATGTTTGTCATTCAGTAATAACGAGATGACAGCCTTCATTGCCTGACCATATGGCAAGTGTTACAAGTATATGCAATCACATCATCTGCTGTAAATTACCATACTTCCTACAAGTTATTTCACAAATAAAAAATAAATAGACATACCCAAACTGACATTTGAAATTATAGATTTGTGCTTATTCGATTTAAGCATGCTTTTAAAGATTTATAAGTAATAAAACAAATATTGTTTTGCAAACTGAGAAACTAAAGGTATAATACTGTTTGAAGGATGTCTTTTCTTTGCAGCAAACAAGACATATGGTAAAATACAAGTGAGCCCTCTTAAGTGAACACCTGTTAACATACTAAACTACTTGTGTATATTATAAATGTCAATACAAACAGCAACTAGTTAAGAACATCTTGTTAGCTTATGAAGTAGAACACGTAGAATGTTGAGCAGTAAAGATTAAATACACATATTTGCTAAGCCAAAGATTAAATTTATTTTTTGAAAAGTGATAAACCCACATATTTAAAAATATTTGCAGGTGCAATGTTGTTCTAAATTTTATATAAAATAAGAAAATAATTGATCACTATTATTCATCAGTATTATTCTGTATCAAGAGATTTGTGGAGATTAACATCCAATATCATATAAAGTTAAATAATCAGCAAAAGAACTCAGGACATTTGAACTTAGAATGGGTAAATGCTAAACACGTGCAAGATTTAGATCATTTATTAGTTTTTAACACTTTAGCTCTAACAATTCTTTTAATTTACTATGCTTATCTCTCATGATATACACACAATTAATTCAGTAGAATTAATTTTTGACATAATTTTGGAAATCCATATTTTTCAATTATAAAATGAAAATTGAGGCCTGAATGCATGGGTGCTAGCTTACATATATGACTCTTAAGTTAAAATCTAGATGTGTTTGGTGGGTTTGCTGTCTTACCTTCTGTAGCCTCTGATCTGAACTGGCTTCCACATTCTTCTTTGGAGTACTGTTCTTGTTCCCATCATCTTCACTAAGCTTAAAAAGTAACCCTACCAGAATAAATAAATATATATATATATATAAAAAAATATGTATAAATAAATACATCTCTATCAGAGAATAAATAATACACTGTGACACCTACGATAACACTAAAACAATACCCAGACCTTGTAAGAAAATCCATTCTTCTGCAATTATTTATAACATGGTCTATTTCTTGACAAGCCTTTTGGTCAGTTTCTAAAGAGTGACCTCTTTTCAAAGTGCTCTGTCACATAATTATGAATCTTTGCAGCATCACAGTATTTTTTTATTTTTTTTTTTTAAGAGTACAACCTTTTCAAAGGTACAATAGATCTGCAGGTTAAAGACGCTGTACTTTCATTCCCATTTTTATTCTTTTATAGACTATTCTCTCTATGCCTTAAAAGCAGAATTCATTGCCTTTTTATCTACACAGTCGCTATGAGTTTTGTTCTCTAGGTCTTGTCCCCTGCTAGGCGGATCAGAGTGATTGGTGAACAAAGCAAACAGTAACAGAATTAGGATGGATGAAAACTTTAAACTCCTTTTTTGATAAGTGAAAGATCATGTACTTCACCAGATAAATCACACAAATCATTGGACTGTAATGCTGTGAATTCATAACAATTAGAAATTGATAGAAGTAATGAGAATAAAATTTACTCTATGCATCGCTCTCAGATATAGCTATGTACTTTAGGTACTAAAAATCCCACTAAAAGAATAATTTAAGAATTAATTATTCAACAGCATAAGAAAAAGTTTGCTGGTACTTATATACAATAAATCAGAAGTAAAATATACTGCATTTAGATTTTGCTTAAAAGCTTACCATTCACAAATTTCTCACTACTTACAGAAAAAAAGCAATTATACATCTCAGAAGGAGTTTTTTCTTAGAATATTAAAGATATTCAAGAACAACAACAAAAAAAAATTAATTCAACACTATAAAAAGAACACAATATTCACATTTCTTTTCTTCCCCGAAATTATTTTTAAGAATTAATCTTAAGGGATAAATATCTGTGTCATACAGTGAAAGTCTGCTTTAGAAGTATCATTTCAAACTACAAGCAGACACTGCAGGTCACTTAAAAACTTTTGATTTATAAACAAAGCAAGTGTAGAAGAAAACAGTGTTACTCTCTGTAGATTCACAATCCTCTTGATATAAACAGTGACTAACAAGTTTGTTAGAGTGAATTAGACCTTTCTTTTGTCTTTGGAACATGTCATGGCCAATTAATACTTCTGTATTCATGAAATAAATGGAGCACTATTCTAAAGATAATAAAAGCTGAAAAAGGTAAAACTACGCATCTGGGGAATATGTACCTTTACCTTGATATTAATATGTTAGTTCCCATGTTATTTCAGACTACAGTCCCCCAGCACAGTGGTACTGCATACATTTACAACATTCTCTAAGTAACACACAAAGATAATATGAACATGCTTTTCATCTTTTTCTAAATATTCACTCATTTGAATGTCTGTTGCAGCTTTTATATCAGCATTTACTGTAATTCACTGAAAAGAAAAATTATTTCCCACAGTCAAAGAAACTGATCAAAGCACACAAGGTGTTATGTTTATTATGTGGATATATTAAAATACAATTTACAAAACTATCTATAAATAAACATATGATATGCATGAGAATAAAGATGACTACTGCAGAACGGACAGAAAAATCTGCACATGTTCAGTTTTACCATGGAAGTCGAAAGCAAAATACATTAAAGAAAAGGCAAATGTCACTGTAGCATAACCCCTTCTATCAAGGAGAAAATAAATGGCCTACACAGCCTTCTTCTCTCCCTCCTCTCCTTCTAATTGATACATATTTGTTCACAGGAATTGGTTAGGGAGGCAATGAAACAGTATTAGCTATAACTGTGTGTCTATCTAAAACAGCAGACAGATTCATCACATCAATCTATTCAGCAACACATGGGATCTACCCACCATTCTCCTACACTAAAAATTCCAAGTTATCCTCAAGGAAGACTCGTAAGTCATAAAACCCACAATCTTCAGTCACTAAATTACAATGGCCTTATATAAGTAAACATATCCCACTGAGAAAACACAGTTAACTGCCAGCTTTGGAGCATAACACTTAGCTTCTAATTAATAGCCACAAAATCTGATTATCAGGTAGTTTGACACCGCTGACAAATGGTATCTGAACTGTGATACTACTCTCCCTACTAATATTTGTGTAAATCCTTTTTACAGAGAAAAAAAATGTCCATTAAAAAAAAATAATAAATAGTGGCATGTAAGTTGTTCCAGAAGTAATGCCACCTATTTATTTCCACGGAAATTACAACAGCAGAATAACACTATTTGATAAAACAAATGTATAGCTACAAAGCACCACTATTAGCTATGTATATTCACCAGCAATGAACAAGAGCCCGCATGCCATGCTCATAAAAATCTACATCAGTGGAGGTGATGTATTCTTTCACAGCTGCTATGAAGGCACTGTATCTAGGAAAATGTGCTCCACAGTCTTCAAACTGCTATGGGGCATGGCATTATGCTGCAACTAAAAGATGTTCTTTGGCTTGACTCTGTAACTTTAAGCCTCCAGCTTAGTCACTGTCAGGATGTTTGGTCAGAGATGATGTTTGTCTGGGTTCCAGGAAATCCAGAAGGACCATCCCTTTCTTATCCATAAAGAAAGTGCACATCACTTTACCCGCTAAGGACAGTGTCCCAAAATTTTTCTTCCATGAAGAATTCACTTGTCGCCACTCCACAGACGGTCATTTTGGCTCCAGTTTGTAGTGGTGACACCACACCTCGTTGCTGATGATGTGATGTAGGGAACTGTCACCTTCTGACTCGTACTGGTTCAATAGCTCCTGGCAAACTTGCATATACTGTACTTTCCATTTCTGTATGAGCATTCCTGGGATCCACTTGGTGCACACTTGGTGATATTCCAACATTTCCACCATCGTTTCCAACACAATGAAGCCAATATTCAGCTCCAGACACAGTTTGCTTGTTGATAATGTACCTGTTCACATCAATGAGTTGATTGAGATTCATTTTTTTGTATGACTATCAGCACAGCTGTCCAGAACATGGCTGCCACCTCTGCTGAAAGACACCACTGTGTTCACATCCACTGTTTGGTCCCCATAAACATTCAGCAAGCATTGATGAATGTCACTGGACATCATATTTTCCTTATGGAGGAAACTAATAACATACCATTGCTTCACATGCACTTCAATGTCAGCTGTCATTCTGTCAGACTGCCCTTCTGCAGCCCCCCTACAGATAAAAGGTGCCATGGTGTAGAAAGCCATTGTTTTACTGATTGCAGTACTAATCTCCCATGTTCTCAATAATGTTTAAGTAGAAAAAAAAGGTGGAAAGGACCACTGAACACCTGAAGAGAAGGCCATTCACACTAATGAACTGGTGACATGACATATTCGGAGAGACTCCAAAATGCCAGAAGCCTTCAAACTGCCTCAGAAGAAACAGAGGGACTTACCACTTACTTTAATGAGGTGCTTCATATTTTTATGAGTAGGATTAGATGGACTCTTTTACCAGCTTTTGGAGAAAGAGACATAAGTTTCTGACAACACACTGTTTACATTCAGGCAAATATAATTACATGAACAGTGAGGTAAATGTGGATTTTTTTCATTCTGAACAATAATTCATGCTAGCAAAACGCCTTAGACAGCTGAGTTAGAACAGACAAAATTAAGAATGGTAAGAACAGTTTCCTTTTTACCTGACCTTTGTCTCCTAGTTAGAGAAAAATGGGGAATAGTTTAAACTAAAAGACAGTAGATTTAGATTAAATGTTAGGAAGAAATTCTTTATTATTTTGAGAGTAGAGAGGCACTGGGACATACTGAACAGAGAAGCTGTGGATTCCCTATCTCCAGAGGTGTTCAAGGCCCCAGCAGCCTGACCTATTACTTGGCAACCCAGTCCATAGCAGAGAGTTGTAACTATAAGTTCTTTAAGGTTCCTTCCAGTGAAGCCATTCTGTGATGATTCTATGGATCCATGAAAAATGGTACAGAATAGGAATAAGGATACCTAGCACTTCCTTCTGACAAACACAACCAGTATCTATTTAAGTCAGACAATAGTGCCTAATTTTTTTAATCCAGAGAAGCTCCGTTGTTTTTCCAGAATCTATCCCTGGATCTTAAAATGCCTGGTGGACACAGGTATCTACAACGGAGAAAACGAATTCCAACATATTTCATAAGCTGAGTAATTTATTGCCAGGTTTATCACAGAATGATAGAATGGCTTGGGTTGAAAAGGACCACAATGACCATCTAATTTCAACCCCCCTGCTATGTGCAGGATCACCAACCACCAGACCAGGCTGCCCAGAGCCACATCCAGCCTGACCTTGAATGCCTCCAGGGATGGGGCATCCACAACCTTCTTGGGCAACCTGCTCCAGTGTGTCACCACCCTCTGTGTGAAAAACTTCCTCCCAATATCTAACCTAAATCTCCCCCATCTCAGTTTAAGACCTTTCCTGCATGTCCTATCACTATAGGACCCGAGTAGGAAAAAAAAGTAGGACCCGAGGAAATGGCCAGAAGTTGTACCAGAGAAGGTTTAGTTTGAGCATTAGGAGAAACTTTTTCTCTCAGAGAGTGGTCAGGCACTGGAATGGCTGCCCAGGGAAGTGGTGGAGTCACTGTCCCTGGCAGTGTTCAAGAGGCTCCTGGATGAGGAGCTACGTGATATGGTTTAGTAGCATGTGGTACTGGGAATGGCAGGGTGGTCGGACTAGATGATCTTGCAGGTCGTTTCCAACCTTGTGACTCTATGATTCTATGATTCTATCCACACTCGTAAACAGCTGTTTCCCCTTGTGTTTATAAGCTCCCTTCAAGTACTGGAAGGCCACAGTGAGGTCTCCCCGGAGCCTTCTCTTCTGCAAGCTAAACAATCCCTCAAGCTTTCTTCATAGGAGAGGTGCTCCAGCCCTCTGATCATCTCAGTGGCCCTCCTCTGAACCCACTCCAAGAGCTCTACGTCCTTCCTGTCCTGGGGGCCCCAGGCCTGGACACAGTCCTCCAGATGGGGCCTCACAAGAGCTGAGTAGAGGGGGACAATCACCACCCTTTCCCTGCTGGCCACCCCTTTGTTAATGCAGCTCAGAACACAGTTGGCCTTCTGGGTTTCATTTCAGAAATGAAAATGTACTTGGCTAGGAAGTTAAAAACTGTATTCAGATCACATCAAATTTTGTCTCTCAGTAAATGCCAGATAACAGATCAAAGGTTTTACTTTTATTTGGGAAAGGACTTAAATACTATTTTAGGGCAAAGGGTGCACATACCTTTGTAACTCATGAGCCAGAATTACTTAAAAGCTCTCAATTACATCCATAGATAGCCATCAATCCTCAGTCTTTTTTAATATATTCTTCCAGAAAATATCAGCCAGCTCATGAAAGTGTCTGCAGCACTGAAACATCCTAGCATTTGCAAGTGGATAAATAAGAAAACTACTTTTCACAGACTGAATAGTACTTTTTTATACCTCAAATGGTAAAAGCTTGAAAATGGCTGGAATCAGTTCAGCCGTACATGCTAAAAAAAGTATTGCCTAATGCATATTGTCAGACTTGATTTTCTAACTTGGAAAAAAAAAAAAACAAAAAACCACCAACCCTGTTCATCTAAATAATACCTGTCACAACACATGCTGGAAGACCTATCTAAAATTTTTGTAAAGTAATTCACTAGGAACTGAACAGTTTTTCTCAGTTCTAATTCTAAAACAACGATTGTACCAGTAACCAAACCAGAACTGTGTACCCACTAGTCCATTTATAAAAAGAATATATTTTCATTTAAAATATTAATGAAAAATGGGGGAAAAAAAAGACTAGCTGTTACAGTATCAAACATGTAAAGAGCTGGCAGTGTCACAGATCTGACTGTTTTATTGAAAACACAAGGTTAGTGTTCAGCAGACTCTTGACTTTTTTTCACTGCTGGTTGCCTTTCCACTTCTCTCTACGCAAAGAATGACTACATTGGCAAAAATAAAGAACTGCTTTTAAAAGTTGGTATTTTAAACCTTTGCTAGTTTTCTTCAGCTTTGTGTGTGACTGTGACAGTAAAACATAAGAAGTAACACAAAAGGAAACAATGATGTTCCAACTTCAGCAGATGGAGATTTCCATTATTTTTTTGTATCATAAAGCAAACTAAAGGAAAAAAAACATTCAGTTTTTCACTCAAGTGGTCAACGTTACCACATGAAATGAAACAGACTAACAGCAGAAAAATGAGATACAGAATGATAAGGCTTTGTTGCCAAAACATGGTTCTTTAGCAGAATACTTCTACTGCTCTTGCAGAATATTGCACACAAGGACTTCCCCACAGATTTGGCAACCAGATGGACTGTGGATTACTTCAAGAACAGCAAATAACTTACAGAATCAGAGTGATAGAGGAAATGATAATATATTACCTATCTTCACAGAACCATCAACTATTGTACAGACTGCAAAGATATAAAAGAAGGTATCCATGATGAACTCTTACAAGAGATCCAACATTTTGATTTCCTTTTGAATCCACAAGCTTTGAGAGATAGCTATTATAAAAAGAAGTCTGAATGAGCATGAAATTTCTGTATCACTGTATTTCAGAACATCAATAGCAGTTCATATTCTGGAGAAAACCACAAATGCATAAGCATGTTTTAGATATTATATACATACAAATATAAACATATTTTAAACAGAAAATATATATAAATTTCTTATGTAGATTTTACACATCAAAATTTCAACTTTTTTGACAATAAAAATTGTCCTTGATTTCACAGACATGCAGAGAACTTCAGGAGAAACAGCTTTGAAACAAAATTTGTGGCCTTATGCTTACAAAATATATATTCAAGAATAAATTACCATTTGGAGACAAAATAACTTTAAAACTAGTATTTCTCTTAGGGTGTGTACACACTTAAAACACAATACCTTCTCTCTTGTTTTAAACATAGTTGAACTGCTGTACTGTAAACTTACCCACAGACTGGTGTACTTTCATCTGATCTAATTCCTCTTCAAGACTCAGTCTTCAAAAGAGTAAATTTAAAAAAAAAAAAAAAAAAAGTAAGAACCATAAATCAACCATAAGCGTTTGCTGTTAATCAAAATTAATCATATTAATATACTGTCAGGAATAAGTAGGAATAAGTTGTCAGTCCTCAGAAATTCATGTAATAATTTATTAAGAGCAGATTCCAAATATAAAGAGTTACTGGTACAAGAGCTGATTAAAACTTACAGAAATAAATTTATAAAATTCAGATAAATTTTTGGTGGTAACATACACCAAGTTTCAGCTAGTCCTTTTTAGGTAATGAAACGATAACAACGATAAAGTCATAATGCTAAAGTTTCAAAGTAAAATTGAGAAATGCTAAATTAATTATATTACTTCCTGTTGGCTCATTTATACACGCGTTTTCTGATACAATCTCTAATTTTACAGTTACAGTCTATTTCAACAATAACATTCCGCCCATTTTAGGTCAGGATACAACACCACATACAATGAGAGAGAGCAGTCATTTAAGATGCAGATTTAAAAAATAACCTCATTCAGTACATATAACATTCTTCCAGTTTTGCTCTGAAGGCTGGACTGCCAATCCCCTAGCAGCCTATTCTGGTGAACTAACAATAGCAGCAACTAAATGCTTCACAAGAGATTTATTTTCTTTTCAAAACCCTCTGAGGTGAGACAACAGAAAATCAGGACAAAATATCTGCTAACTTAAGGAAAGGGTTATGCACAGTTCTTTGAAGCATTCTGTATGTTTAGCACTTCTCTCAGCTGCAGATCTAAATATTGCAATTCATACCCCATAGTCTCACGTGGAGAGTATGAAAAACTTTTCACAAAGAAAACAAGAAACATATGAAAAGCTAAGGTAACTTGCTTTGCACACAACTCCAGCTACTTTCAGGACCACCCAGCTTCATGGACTGACTTTCTTTGCTCTTCTTTCATTTTCTATGCCTCAGTCATCATTAACTTCTATTACACAAATTACAATGGCCTTTACCACTATCTGTTACTCATATCATGTCCATTTCCTGCACCAAATGGCAAGCTGCTCACTTGAAAAAAAAGCACAAACATTTGCTAATTGTGTGTTTAAATACTAAATTCAAAATTATATGAATGCAAGGGAGTGAATTAGGATTATCTTAGAATCCTCACTGCCTGTAGCTCTACCTTCCAAGCACGTTAGTTTTCATCTTCAAAAACACATTTGAATGAACACATTTATACATACATGAACAGACATATCCATGCATCCCTTCTACATGCTAGTCAAGTGGCAAGTACACGATTTTTATAAAGAATTAATAAACACAAAAACTTCCAAAGTGATGGAAGATGTGGAAGCAAAAAAAAATAATAAGTAAAAAGTAAAGGAGTAGGTTTCTTCAGTCACTTGCAAATTTGTCTGTGAAATACACTTCAACTGAAGGCAGGCTCTACCTAGACTGGAAATACTTCAGCTAGGGTAGACAAGAAGTTACAATGTGTCATACAGGATCCAAGTCAACTGAAGTCTTGAACAAATTTTAGAAATGCCCAAGCGAATCATACCAGTGCTGGATCCATTCTGCACCAAACCTTTATGTACAGAAGACGCAAAAGCAGATGTTACTTCAAGAAAGTGCACAAGCCTGTTTCTGCAGTCCTGTTTTTTCACCCTCAAAGTGGCATCTAAACACCTCCCTTTCCACTCCTGTAATTTATTCCCTGTTGCTAGAAGGATCTTTCCTCCAATCCTACAGAAATGGGATTTATTTATAACCTTTCATGTGGAGCCTTGAAAAAGATCTGCCAAAGGCATTTTGAAAATACAGGTTAGATTCTACCCACATGGTTACTGGAATAGTCTGCAATTCCAGCAGGTTAATGAAGCAGAATTTCCCTTTACAGAAGCCACACTGATTACTTCCAAAAAAACCTGAGTTTACCTGTTTCCGTGTTCACTGATATCTCTCCCTCTCCTTCTTCCCCTGCCCCTTTTTTTTTTTTTTTTTTTTGTAAAGACAATACTGCCATATTCTAATGTATGGAAGCAGCCAGTCTTACTGGTCTGGAGCTCCCTCTGGAGCTCTTTTTGCAGATGGGAGTTAACAGTGGCAACCTGCCAGTCCACTATCACAGTAGCTGTTTATGAGGTTACAGTTCAGTAATTTCATACTTGAGCTTGGGTGTGAAGATATTAACATCAAAATACTAGCAACTGTTTTACTTGCTTGGCTTTATTATTGCCGTGCAGTTACTTCAAAAAAAAATCTAACACATCTGATCTATCTGCTGTGAGGAACACAGCAATGGTTGACATCTTCAGCAGGGAAGGCTGCAAAGATTCACTGAGCTGTTCTTTAACAGCCTTGTAATCTCAGTGTATCCTTTTACAGTTACCATTAAGCAAATCTACAAGCTTCCTAATTGGCTTATTTTTCACATCATTTAAGGAAAATTATACTAGCACAGCTTAAGCGTCCTTTAAAAATTATTCTTCAGTTAGCTTCTTCAGCCTTCTCATCTTCCCGACTGCATTTGAACAGCCACTGTTTATTGGCCTTCCTGCTCTCACCAAAGCAAGCTTAAGCTTCAAATGCTGGCTTTTTATCTTAAAGGTCAAATATTCTTAAGACTGCTATGTTTTTGAATTTTATTTTACGTTTTAAGTTGCAGTACACATTCTTGTTGGGCTTTTAATTCAGTATTTTTCTCACTGCCCATGAGAATAAGATGGCAGCAGGCAACATGCTCCAGATTGGCCAGGCCCTTAAGACAGTCTCCCATCGTCTTACTGCCAAACAGCTGAGATCTGGTGGTGCAAAGTACATGAAGGGGCTGGAAAACTGCCAGGCTCAAAGGGTGATGATCCTTGCTGTGAAGTCTAACCGACAGCCAGCAATTAAAGACAACACTCTCATGAATCCACACCAGAGCTCCTAAATATTTTTATCAACAACTGAAATACAGGTAAGGGTGCCACTTGGCAAGTACACAGACAGTATAAAACTGAAGGCAGCAACTGATACAACGGAGGACGGGTCTGCTGCTCAGGAAGATGGCAACAGGCAGAGAAAACAGGCTGACGACACTCATAAAAGCCCAAGTCCTGTCAGAACAACTCTACGCATCAGGGCAGCCTAGAAGACAACTAGCTGTAAAGCAGCTTTGCAGAAAAAGTGGGGTCCTCCAGCACAATGAGCTGAACATAAGTTGAGTAGTCTTTGTGACATCTTCCTAGCACATCTTACTTATTACCAGAGTATAGGACTTCTATCCAAAAACATTACACAGTGCTGCCATTTTCCTGTAATAGTTGCACAGTACCACACCTAAAAAATCCTTTTTATACCCTATCACTCTCTAACCATGTACTCCTACTCTCCCACTGCTGCAAAGCTAGTGTCTGGGCAATGCTTTATTCCAGAGATCACCTTTGTTCCTCCAGGTCTCAAAGTTATGATGTCAGAATTTCAATCTGATGTAAAGTAGTCTAGGCCCAAATCTTATTTTTTTGGCATCTAGCAATGGCACAGAAGTATCTGTATATAATTTCTCCATTACGTTGCTTTGTATGCCAGTCAACTAGTGGTACTGACAACATTTTAGAAGAGATTTCCTTTTCTTTTGTTTACCATTACCAGCACCAGCTTCCTTCTTTCACAAAAGAGTCCATTTACTACAGAAATATTCATGGTCCAAATGGACATGGGGGCAAAAAATAGATTGCAGATCTCATTACTTCATGGGCCCCTCTAACAGAATATATTCCTTCTTAGAAACAGGATGTTCTCTTTTACCGGACTTAAGTTCTTCACAGCAGCACATAACAGAAAATGCCTTCTGTGCCAGTAGCCACACATGTTTTGCTAAAACTAACTGGATAAACTGTCTCCTACAGGTGCAGGAAAACTGCTGCTCACTTACAAACTTACTTTTTTGAAAATCTAGGTAAATTTATGTAAGTATAGTTCCACCTTTTGAACTATCTCTCATTCTATTTCATCACTAATAGTTATTGAATTGGTTTGTTGGCTTGTTTTTTCTAATCTCTGAACTGTTACAATCGTTTGTTCATAAAATTTTTAGGTCTGTAATGTGGAAACTATTCCAATCCAGGGCAACAAAGTTGACAAACTTATAATTAAGTCATCTGAGAACATATTCTACACTGCTTTTCACTCAATCTTTTCTTTCTTAAAAGTAAACATGACATGGCAACCTTCAAGCCTTTTTTCCTACAAACCTTTTAAGGCAAATACAGTACTAACATAGAAAATTAAATAATAATCTGTCTGGACTCATACTGCACACTTTTTACAAAAGCAGAATATGACAGAGAAATACAAAAATAATTGTGTTTTTTTAACATGATTATATCAATATTGCCATAAGTGCTTCTATATTTCAAGGCAAAAAAAAAAAACAGAGCAACAAATGCAATGTGAAGAACCAGATACAGAAGCATGTAGCTGTTCCTTGCTGTCCTTGCTGTTTGTTCCCAGCTGAGGAGTAGAGTATGCTCTTATACACCTGAATGTGACATGCTATTCTAGCTAGAACTTGTTTAAAAAAAACAAAAAAAATCTATACTGCATTATAACAAATATCTAGTTCAGTCGCCTACAATCCACAGCAGAAGTACCACAGCCTCTATTTCGTCAAAAGAGAGAAGAAAAAAGGGGAAAGATATAATCTGGTCTTCTTGAAGAGTGCAATTTATTTCAGAGATGGTCTGATTTTTGCTTTCCCACAGAACAAGTAAATATGATCAGAAGCATCAAAGAAGCATCTAAGTAAGAAACTTCCTGAGAAACAAGAGGAGGTTGGAGGAAGTTAAGGTAACTAAGTCATATAACACTGCTGAAGTATAATGTAATGCTAGAAGAAATGACTCAACCTGGAAAAACACTAGGAAGGTGTTGCTTTCCAGCCTCCCATTTACACCTTCACTTCATTTGAACAAGATACTTTTAGTTCCTGTCTAACAAAATTTACAGCTGGGATTTGAAAACAAGT